TGATCCTGGACGTATTCCTGTAGTTTACTTTTCATCTGCGTGAAATAACTGCAATGTTTAAGTCAAAATTATTTAAAAATTTAGGAATGCTAAGCTCTTAGATTTACCAAAAGAATGACTGCAACAATAACTCAGAACATCATCTCTGAAAATGTTGAATTTGGAAGTGAACTTTAATTCTACATTTGCATTACCTTCGTAAAATTTTGATTTTTTAAACAACAATTTGAACTTACTACGTGAAGAGAAGTGGTATAAAATGGATGGACATGGGTCCAGTCTACCGACAAAAGCTGCCCATTTTTATTTCATTTTCAAATTGGTTTCCCAGTTCTTCCTGCATGGCACAACTGTCATATGAGAAATAAGTATCATTTTTGTTTTTCTTCATTCACTTACGGAGGAAAGATGTATAATGAGGATTTATGTTATCAATTTTGATGTTATTAGAGGTTTTCCAAATGTATTTTGGAGTTTTGATGATCCTTGACATGGCCAAAGGGTTTTCAACATGAGGTCAAGGTCATGATTTTCACCCCTGAATATCAGTTCTAGTTTTAAGAAAATAATTAGGACATTTACCAAGCAAATTCACGGCGATGAAAGCTGATCGGACTATTTTTTATTCAATTGTTTCAAAAGAGATTTGAGATGATGGTTAGATCACTGCTGAACTGATGCTTGTACTTTATGCAATGGGTTGTACAGAGAGCAGCATTAAGAGCTTGATTCTCTTTATTTTTTGGATTTCTCATACACTCTGAAATTAACTTGCAAAATCTTTTTTACAGTTTTTGAGATAACATTATTTTTGCATGAATATCATTGCATTGTTGGTTATCTTTAATTCATAGCTTCCTTGTGCCATGGAAGTCACATTGGAATTTGCAGGCATAACATATGCTGCCTTTTTTATGTCGTGATTGAAGTCACTCAGTCCCATGCTTAAGGGTGATTACCATGAGTTTACAGAAATATTTGTAAATTTTTATTACAAGAATATCCACATTAGTAATTTCTTTGTTTGTAAATTTTCACATAAAAATAAATATATTGGAGGGTTTATTTTGTGTCTTCATTTATGCAGAGGATAGCTTTTGGGTACATTGTTGCTGCCGTCTGTGAAATATGGTTTTCAAATTCCCTGAGGAATGCAGGCCACATAGGTGTCTTTTTCAGAAACTATTTTATTCATTGGTACGATTCTATTTTCTGCAGATGCTGCATAAATCATTTGAAACTTGTATTCATTTTCAGTTACATATGGTTCTTAATGAAATAAATTAGAATTAAACTCTATTGTGATATCAACTTTTATTCTTGGGTACCTACGTGGCCACAAATGAATTGCTGTTCGAAATGGTTCTCACTTTATGTTCACTTTAATTTCAAATAAAATCTGATGCCTCTGGCTGTGTTTTTCCTTTTTTTTTATTGATCCAATTTGAACCAGTTAAGATTTCTAGATCTTAATTTAATTTTAGGCCGGTTTAAAAGTTTACGACACGGACTGAGTGGATTTGATCAGTTCTTGTGAATTCTAAGCCCCTTTATGACATGACATGGAAAAATAGCTTCCTACAAAAATAATTTTTTCAGAAACACCTTTGCCATCAAATATGCGGTGCAAGAAAATCAAAGTTGGTTTTGTAAGTAAGTTAAAAACATGCAGAGAAACAACAAAAAAATCTCTTATGGGTTGGGATAGTTGCTCAAATCGACAGAAAGAACATCTTCTTTATGCCAATGACAGTGGAAAGTAAAGCTGTGATTGAAAAAAAATATAATGAATTGAGATACTGGAATGAAATGATTGGAATGCTAAACTGTTTTACCAATAATAAACCAAGACTTTACTAAGATGGAATCGGGACTGTACTTGTCCAAGTTACCTTCGATTCTTCCATAATAAATCAGGAAATAGTAACTTTTTCAATTAATCTTTTTAATCTTCTCGCTACATATATTTCTTTAGGTTTTCATTCCTTCACTTATTTTGATCTGATTAATCATGGGTTACATATGGGGCCAACACATATCCAAAACATGACATGTAGTATCCATAATCAGTTACAAACCAAGTATTTTAGATTTTTAGATTATTTTTTGAATTTAAGAAAGAAATTTAGGTAGACCTATACTAACATGGACGAGAGCAGTTCTAGAAGGGATGAATAATTTTAATATATCAGTGAACACTTGATAAGAATGAATGAAAAATGAGTACTCATAATACAATTCCTAACTAGTAGGAATAAGGCTAATAATCATACTGATATTATATTCCATGAGTTGAAAGAGAGTTTATACTTGAACTATTACCTTTGAGGAGCGCAAAGTAGAAAAATGAGTACTCATAATACAATTCCTAACTAGTTGGAATAAGGCTAATAATTATACTGACATTATATTCCATGAGTTGAAAGAGAAAGTTTATACTCGAACTATTACCTTTGAGGAGCGCAAAGTGTCTGCCTAAATATGTGACGCGGGCGCCAACTTAGGGGCGCAGAGCGCCAAATAGCGGACACGTGAGTCGCGTTCCACTCCTGGACCGCTTCGATCCAACATTTTGATGGGGGGTTAACTTTGGTATCATTTGGTAGCAAAACTAGTCTATCCCTAGTCATATCTTAGGGTTGCCAAAATCTACCCGTACCTAACCCCACTTCCACATAAAAATCCTTCACTTTGCTGTTTCTCTTAACCACCGCCCAAAAATTTTCATCCCCACCCTATATCATTACCATACACCCTCTTCCACGTAACCAAATCCTGACTGCGTCACCGAAGAAATACTACAACGTCGTTTATTAAACATCCGTAAAGAGATGTTTGGGAACTTTTTACAGATGATGTATGACGGGAAATCTTCCAATTGCAGCAAAGGCTTACTGCTTTCGAGAAGAGGCAATCTATAATGGTCACTCGTAGCCACAATAGTGAATTGCCAGATTGAAAGGATACAGTGAATCCTTTCCACCAGTCAGATTTTAAATATGAAGAACTATAATCTTGTAGACTTGATATGAAATATTAGAGAATCCTAGATTTTAATGCAAAAGTGGATTTTCCATATTTTGACAATCACTTGGATCCAGATGAGTTCATGGGTGATTTTGGACAGTAGAATGTGTCTTTGAGTATCAGGACGTTCCACCGGAGGGAATGCTAAAACTGTCCACCAACAAGTTCAGGAATAGTGCATCTTAGTGGTTGGGAGAGCTTGAATATTTTTCAATAACGAGAAGAGAAGAATAAAATTACTACCTGTTCAGGGATAATGCATATTAGTGGTTGGGCGAACTAGAATATTTTTTCAACAGTGATAAGAGAAGAGTAAAATTACTGCATGACTTAATATGAAATGAGTGATGCAACGCTAGTTCCTACTAGTTCATTACAAACATGACATATTCTCGAGGCAACATCATCGGTGACCACCACATCTTACAGGCAGTGTTCAACCCTACATTCAAACAGTAAGAGTATACCCAACAGAACATCCAAATCGACTGCTTGAGGAGACTAATTTAGAGTGGAGAACAGGTAGAACTAATGCACACTCTTAAATCCGTCTTAGCCAGGAAGTGATTCAAATGCCACAGATTTTGGCACATTGAATAAGATTGCCTAACCAAGTGAATAATCTTTCACTGATCAAGGAATAATTGAAGAAATGATAATGACATAGTAGACACAGAATGTCACACCCCAACAGGCCCCCCTTTTAGGGGTTGGCTGAGGCGCAACAGGGGCTGGTAATTTGATCGGACTAACTTTCACCAACATTTGTCCTTATTTTTATAATTAGGATCCAATGGGTGATGACTTAGTCTAACTGGATCACCGCAACATACGTGATACATTGCATTTGAATTATCTATTCAGAAGCATGAAAATTAAATCATCCAAAACATGAAAAATATTCAGAGCTGCTAAATCTATAACAATAAAAATACTTACCCAAAACTTAGCTAAAAAGCTCCCAAAACTAACTTGCAAAAGCTGTACAAAGACGCACTTGACTACTCACCCCGGTGCTCGTTGCCCCCACCTGAAAGACAACAATGAAAAATGAGCAAACAACAAGCTCAAAGAAATAATCAGGATTAAAATAAGTTTTTAAACATGAAAAGAAAGTAACATGCATGCTCTTGTGAAACTATAAATGTCGACATACAATTATAACATATTAGTATACTAGAAAACATGAAAAGAAAGCACTTATAAGTGGTATAAAAAATCAACTATAGTGTAACATACAGGTCGTAAACATGAAATCATAAGTATAAACATGTTCATTCATTTCTTAGAGGTCATATCATAAAAATATCACTTATTTAATGTATAGGGTTCAACTATTTTCATGTTCTTTTATCATGGGTCGTCATCCTGCCTCAAAAGCCATATAAACTATCGATAAAGATTGGACTTATCCCAACATAACAGTTATCGACAGCTCCCATGACGTTTTGTCACCGTCTAATTCCAACGGTTCTCAGAGTTTCACCCCGTATAAATATTAGGAGTCGGAAATACATACTTGCATAATGTACTTGCAAGAACTCACATAATACTCATGACGTTTTGTCACCGTCTAATTCCAACGGTTCTTAGAGTTTCACCCCGTATAAATATCAGGAGTCGAAAATACATACTTGCATAATGTACTTGCAAGCACTCACATAATACCCTATCCTTTAATATTTCTTGTGACATTTCTTTAAGCATAATACATGTAGCAACATTTATCAAACATTTCATAAAACATAATTCTTGTAATAAGGTATTTCATATCTCATAAGCATGAATTATAATAGAATGAACACTTGCAAGCAATCAGTTTCATATGCATAATCATCTGGATCGTAAAATAGCATAAAATCACGTGCAACATAATGAAAGTCAACTTGCATTCATAAATTAATTGCATGTATTCATCTACAATATTTCTGAATTTCGGAATGCATCTGTCGTACTAGAAATTGTATGAAATCTATAGAAGAGTATTTTTCTCGACCCGGACAATACTGTATATCCAGATCATAATCATTGATCAATTCTAACAATCTTCATTGCCTCAAATTCATCTTTTTTTTTTTGTAAAAATGTATTTCTGACTTTGATGATCGGTAAAAACTTACATTTTATTTCATATATATAATGTCGCTAGATTTTGAGAGCAAAAACAATAACTAATTCCAGATCATGCGTCAGATAATTTCTTTCATGTGGTTTCAACTATATGGATGCATAAACTATCACCTTTTTATTCAGCATCAAAACACAACCCAAATCTCGTAAGGACGCATCACTGTAAATCTGAAATCCTTCTGTGCCTAATGCAAGAGCTAACATTGGTGTCGTGGTCAAATGTTTGTTCAACTCTTGAAAATTGTGCTCGCATTCTGCAGTCTACTCAAACTAAATATATTTTCTCATTAACTTGGATAACCGCATAGCTATCTGTGAAAAACCTTTGAAGAACTTCCTGTAATATCCCGTCAAACCAAGGAAACTGTGTATCTCTGTAACATTCTTCGGAGTAGGTTATTCCACAAGTACTTTGACTTTCTGAGGATCTACTGAAATTCCCTGACCACTAATAATATGTCCCAAAAATGGCAAAATTCATATTTTGAAAACTGTGTATAATTGATTCTCACAGTAGCTCTAAAATTATCCTCAAATGCTTGACATGATCTTCATCAATTTTTGATTAAATCAGATTACCGTCAATTAATATAATGGCAAACTGATCCACATTTGAAAACTGTGTATAATTGATTCTCACAGTAGCTCTAAAATTATCCTCCAATGCTTGATATGATCTTCATCAGTTTTTGATTAAATCAGAATACCGTCAATTAATATAATGGCAAACTGATCCACATATGACTTGAAAATTCAATTCATCAGGTCCATAAAAACTATAGGAACGTTAGTTAAGCCAAATGACATAACTAAGAATTCCTAATGACCATACTTGATTCCAAAAGCTGTCTTAGTTATCCCGATCTCAGATAAATTCTCAAAAATAGAGTTGTACCTTCTAATTGATCAAATAGATCATCGATTGTCACCTTATTTAGCTCCACATAACTAAGAATTCCTAATGACCATACTTGATTCCAAAAGCTGTCTTAGTTATCCCGATCTCAGATAAATTCTGAAAAATAGAGTTGTACCCTCTA